ATCTATATATATATATATTATTTGAGAATGTAAAATTTTTAATACATAAAGATAATGTGACGGTTAAGTGTCGATGAGATTAAGGATAAAAGGCTAAAAAATTATCTTCGGTATTTTGACAATTTATCTTTAATTTTTACATATCATATCTGTTAAATTGACACATCAATATCTTTCACTCATTCTTGGGTGCTAAAATTTGTTAAATTAGGCATGTAAGAAATGCAACTATTAAATTTTCTAATAATTTTAATATATCAATCCTTCTCCACCTCTCTTTTAATATATAACTTCCTTTTCTCTCTAAATTTATTTATTTTTAATTATTTATAATTCTCCTCTTAATAATTAAATCTATTAAAATAAATAAAATAGAAATTGTTAATCATAAAATAAACTAAAATCGCTATTATCTTTGTAATTAATTATTATTAATTATTAAAAAAATCTTAGGGTATTAAAAAAACATTACTATAACTACATTGATTAAATGTTATCTTAATGTTTGTATATGATTTTATTATACTTATATGTATATTATTTTTATTTTGGTAAATTTAAAAATATTTTGTGAAAATAATAATTAAAATATTTATTTAAATGTAAATCAAGAGATAAATTGTTAAGGGAAACAAGTGTTTATTTAAAGTTTATAACATAAGAATGAATCTTGGTGTAATATTCACATCTCTAAAAAATGTTAATGTAAATGATAGTTTGGTAATATAATATTTTTAGAAATTAACAAAATTTTAACGAGAAATTTTCAAAATGAATAAAGTATACACTAGAATTTCTCGAGAGAAGAGACAATAATTTTTAACACAATAAGTCATAATAATTTAATATTCTTATCCTTTAGGAGAGGAAAGTATATAATTTACTTAGTTATTTAATTAAATATTTTGTTAATAAGATTAAAATAAGAGAAAAGTACTATCCATCAAATTGCCCAAATTAAAAACTATATTTAATTAAATTAATTAACACATAATTTGTCTAAGTAATTAAGATAATTAAGTATAATTTATTTATTTAATTAAATATAATCAACACATAATTTTTTTTTATAATTATATTATTGATAAAAATTATCTATCCATCTTGTTTCGAGATCTTACTTAAAAAATTTGAGACAAATTCCATTCATCCAAATGAAATGTCGGTGAATAAACTATATTTAGTAGAACTTTTTATTACATATTTACAAGGATTTCCAAATGCATATTAAACTTGATTTATTTTCCATAAAAATTAATTAAAATCTTAGGGTTATTGATAATAAAAATATAATAACATAAAATATACAGGAGCACAAAACTTTTAATATAAAAATTTATAAAAATTATTTTTATGATAAATAAATAATTATGATTTTTAATATATATCTTTATATTTGATGTTAAAAATTAAAATTATTATTAAATAAATAATTTAAAAATAAAATAAAATTGAATGGATAATAAATTAAAAATTAAAATATAACGATTTTAATTATGGTTTTTTGTTTGTAATAATTTTTTTTATTCTGATAATCAATTAAATAGTCTTCGAAACAAGAGAATTGCTTAAATTAAAGGAAGTGTGGTGATTTAATTTTACGCAAATAAGTAGTATGTTAAGTGTAATTAATGATTTTTAATTAAACATAGCTAAGATATGCTATTTTTAATTACTTATTCATTACCGAAATGAAATAACTATGCTTAATAATATGTTAGAAAAATTTATATATTTACATATATTTTCAAATTCATATAAAATATAACAATATTTAAATTTTATTTTATTAATAATGAAAAT